TACTTCTCCATGGAGATGTTATTGCTTTGCCTGGGGATGTTCCATGGTATGACTTTAACCATATCCATGTAGCATTTATTCATTACTGGTGTTTCTTTTGCTCAAAAATACAGTAATTCCTTCTGTCAATAGGGGCGACTCTCCACAGATCTGAACTGTAATGCAGCGTAGTGTTGTAACCTGCTTGTCTCGCTTATAATAAAAAGGTTTACTCTATATTGTGGAAAGTTCTAGGAACCTAGTGCCTCCACTCAGTTTCTTTTCTCTCCAGTGACTAGGTCAGGAATTGGAATAGACTAGACGATTCGCAAAAACCCCTGAAGTGCGAGTTCGGGCACCGGCCAATCAGCAAAGAGCCGCATATTCTGTGTTGCAATGATTCCTGAGATCGAGGATTTAAAGCCGGAATAAAGAGAATGTTTGGTGAATTTCATCAAGGGGAAAGACATTATTGTCCTTCTTCCTACGGGATTTGGGAAAAGCTTAATATACCAGTTAGACCTGTTAGTGGCGCGATCAAATAGCAGCAATCGGTTAAATAAAAAAAGTACCCGCCTACCGTCAAGCGAACGAATCCTAACGCTGCGAGGTCAGACGGTTTCTACAAAGTGAAACCGGCTGGTGAATCGGCAGTTCCAGGGCTGAAAGTAGCTAAATGATTCTAGTGAAAGTGTATGGAGTTTCAAAACACAGTGGAGCACTTCCTGTTTTCTGTTTGAGAGAAGAACTCTAACACACAAGCTTTGCATATTTAAACATGTGTAAACTTCAGATATGTTTGTGATGAGGAAACTACATTATAACATATTCTAGATCAGAAAACAGGCCCTTTAAACCAGTGTCCCAAACTTTTTTTTTTTTCTGGGGACCCATGTTCTTTGTTGGCAACGATTCTCGAGATCGACGATTTAAAGTTGGAACAAAGAGAATGTTTGGTGAATTTCATCAAGGGGAAAGACGTTATTGCCCTTTTTCCTACGGAATTTGGGAAAATCTTAATATACCAGTTATCTCCGTTAGCGGTGCATTACATACATCATGACCAAATACCGTCGAGCGAACGAATCCTAATGCTGTGAGGTCAGACGGTTTCCACGAAGTCAAACCGCTAATGAATCGAGCTAGGAACATTCTAGACCAGGAGTGTCAAACTCATTTTGGTCCGGGGGCCGTATCCAACCTACTTTGATCCCAAAGGGGCCGGATCAGAAAACTCATGTCATATAAACCCCAAAAATAGTAATAAGTTTAAATATTTGTGTAGAAAAACGCAAATCTATGACTGAATATTTTTTTTAATTGATGAACTCTTTCACTAATTTGTCTGCAAACAGGAATAAGTCAATTTTTGTTCCTGCACACTTTGTTCCTCCACTTTTCTCATGTTGGACATTTTTCTGATGAGGGTGTCACGGTCAACAGTCAAAACGATCGTCCTTTAAGAGCGTTTGGAAAGAGACAAGTCTTCATTTGTGCTGCTCTGGTGGGAGGGGCCACGTACAGAGACGCTGGAGACGCTGCTGTGATAAACACCGCAGAAAATTACCAATATTTTAATAGAAAATATAATTCAAATATTTTAGTAGAAAATCACCCGAGGGCTTGGGTCTTGGAGGGCCCGGCCGTATGTTTGACACTCCTGCTCTAGACAAAGCGACAATATTTTCATAGAGACACACAGGTGACTGATCTTCCACTAGAAATGTTTTGCTGTGCACTTTTTCTTCACGTTTTTGCATCAGTAAAACAGCGGAACATCACCTCCACCAGAAAAGTAGCATCTCTGAGACAGTGTTGAATTTAGTTTAGCCGTTTTGCTTCCTGTTAAAACAAGTGTCCAAAAGGAGGCTGTGCTAATTCCAGCTAAGCCACAGACACACGGCGGCTGCCAGGGAGTATTTAAAGCTCACATCTAACACTGCGCCAGAGTCCTGCTCCAGCCCCTACAGCGAGCGTTAGACATGTGAGAGAGGCCACACGGGACAGTCCACAGATTTAAAAGTGCAATGTGGAACTTTTCGGTTGCTTGTTTCTATGGAGATGTCATTTCTCTGCCTGGAATGTTCCACAGTGTGACTTTAAACAGCTCTACTTTACATTTACTCAGTTATAGGTGGTTTTAGAGCTCAAAAAAACTAGAAAAACAGACGTTCTGACTGTGAGCGGGGTCGCCTCTCCACAGATCTGACCTGTAACTTGGTCTGGTTTGGTCTCCATGAAGATAGAAAAGTTTAATGCCATACTGTGAGACATTCCAGATAAATCAAAAGCATTTGGACGGACCCTCGACCAGAAAAGTTACACAATGGACCTTTAAAAAACACATATTATTTATTACTTGTAAGGCTGTGCAATTTATCGAATTTTGATTGTTATTTCGAGTTTTTTTTTGTGTGTGTCAGACGATCTTCAAACTCATAATTGTTGAGTTGAAATGCTTTTTTATTTTGGGATATAAGTATATTTATTTATTTATTTATTTATTGAAGTATAGAGATTGTAGAACAGCTGGATATTTAATTTATTTTGGATACATTTATGTTTTTCTGTGCCTTATTTCATGTTCAAAGTTTATTTTATTCATTTTTTTTGTTTTATACAGCACAAAACTGCTCTAAGGTTCAGATTCGTTGCCTATATTTATTTTCTATTTTAAAGTTTTGCATAAATTATCAATAATAAAGTCTGTTTTTTTGAGAGAGAAATGCTGAATAAATCCATTGTGTAACTAAAAAAATTATCGTGATTTCAATATTTACCAAAATAATCGTGATAATGATTTTTTCCCATAATCAAACAGCCCTACTTGCATTACTTGTATTTTTATTGGCATTTAAAGGCCCATGTTGGACTATTTATTTCATTCACACATGTTTAACACACAAATACTGCAGATTTAGACTAAGTTCTTCTCTCAAACAGAAAACACTCTGTTCAACCTTCTGATGTCATGTGGTAATACAAGAACGTGCTCCACTGTGTTTTTAAACTCCATACAATCATTTGAATGATTTCAGATCAGGAATTGACAATCTCTACTGAACAAAAGTAAAAGTAGATGTTGACTTGAGAACTGTCACTGCAGGTGTGGTGAAAGAAAGGGTGAGGTTAATTTCAGAGCAGGGACAGAGAGACAGGACACATGAGGACAGACGGGTGCAGGGACAGAGAGACAGGACACATGAGGACAGACGGGTGCAGGGACAGAGAGACAGGACACATGAGGACAGACGGGTGCAGGGACAGACGGGTGCTGGGACAGACAGACAGGAGGATCATTTGGGATGGACAGGTGGATATTGTTCAGCTGCTCCCGTCACATTGAACCCAGAGGATTATTCAGGTAAATGTCAGAGAAAGGACGGTACCCGAGGACACAAGGAGACACACAGGTGCAGGGACGGACAGGAGGACATGTAGGACAGGACATATGAGAAAAGACAGGTACAGGGACGGACAGACAGACAGGACACATGGAGACAGGTAGGTTCAGGGACATGTACCCTGTCTTTCTGTAGAGACAGAAAGACATGACACATGAGGAAAGACAGGTGCAGGGACAGAGAGACAGATGTAGGGACAAAAAGACAGGTGGGACACATGAGGAAAAACCGGGACAGAAAGACAGAACACATGATGAAAGACAGGTGCAGGGACAGAGAGACAGATGGGATACATGAAGAAAAGGCAGGGACAGACAGACAGGTGGGACACATGAGTAATGACAGGTGCAGAGACAGAGAGGTGCTGGGACAGAAACACATGATACATGAGGACAGGCAGGTGCAAGGACAAAGGGACAGGCGGAACACATGAGGAAAGACAGGGACAAACAGGTGCAGGGACAGACAGACAGGTGCAGGAACAGAGAGTTGGGACACATGAGGAAAGACAGGTGCAGGGACAGACAGGTGCATGGACAGACAGACAGGTGCAGGGACAGAGAGGCGGGACACATAAGGAAGGACAGGTGCAGGGACAGACAGGTGTAGAGACAGAAAGACAGGATAGATGAGAACAGACGTGCAGGGACAAAGAGACAAGTTCAGGGACAGAAAGACATGACATATGAGGAAAGACAGGTGCAGGGACAGACAGACAGATGTAGGGACAAAAAGACAGGTGAGACACACAAGGACAGACAAATGCAGGGACAGAGAGACAGGCGGGACACATGAGGAAAGACAGGGACAGACAGGTGTAGGGACAGACAGACAGGTGCAGGGACAGAGAGGCGGGACACATGAGGAAAGACAGGTGCAGGGACAGACAGGTGCAGGGACAGAGAGGCGGGACACATGAGGAAAGACAGGTGCAGGGACAGACAGGTGCAGGGACAGAGAGGCGGGGACACATGAGGAAAGACAGTTGCAGGGACAGACAGGCGCAGGACAGAGAGGCGGGACACATGAGGAAAGACAGTGCAGGGACAGACAGGCGCAGGGACAGACAGGTGTAGGGACAGACAGGTGTAGGGACAGACAGACAGGTGCAGGGACAGACAGACGGGTGCAGGGACAGAGAGGCGGGACACATGAGGAAAGACAGGTGCAGGGACAGACAGGTGCAGGGACAGAGAGGCAGGGACACATGAGGAAAGACAGTTGCAGGGACAGACAGGCGCAGGGACAGACAGGTTTAGGGACAGACAGGCGCAGGGACAGGCAGGCGCAGGGACAGACAGGTGTAGGGACAGACAGGTAGGGACAGACAGGTGCAGGGACAGAGAGGCGGACACATGAGGAAGGACAAGTGCAGGGACAGAGAGACAGGCGGGACACATGAGGAAAGAGGGACAGTTGCAGGGACAGACAGGCGCAGGGACAGACAGGTGCAGGGACAGACAGGCGCAGGTGCAGGGACAGACAGGCGCAGGGACAGGCAGGCGCAGGGACAGACAGGCGCAGGGACAGACAGAGCAGGTGCAGGGACAGACAGGTGCAGGGACAGACAGGTGCAGGGACAGACAGGCGCAGGGACAGACAGGCGCAGGGACAGACAGGAGCAGGTGCAGGACAGACAGGCGCAGGGACAGGACAGGTGCGGGGACAGACAGGCGCAGGGACAGACAGGCGCAGGACAGACAGGAGCAGGTGCAGGGACAGACAGGCGCAGGGACAGACAGGCGCGGGGACAGACAGGCGCAGGGACAGACAGGCGCGGGGACAGACAGGCGCGGGGACAGACAGGCGCGGGGACAGACAGGCGCAGGGACAGACAGGCGCGGGGACAGACAGGTGGTGATTGTTAAGCTGCTGTGAGGCTTTCTCAGGTAAATGTCAGTGGCGTCTCTAATGCCACAGCTCGTCTCATCTGCCGCAGACTCAGAGCACACTGTCCCTGCAAAGGCCACGCTGGCTTCAACTCCAGCACAAATGTAGGCACAGCAAGAATTAAAGGGGCGACACACTTTTTTTTTTTTTTTTAAGTAATAAAGTAAAAAGCAAATTTAAATAAAGTAAAACCTTGCCCCAGTATAGATTGTAAAAGCAGCTCTAAAATGAAAAGAGACTGTTGTGCGCTGTCTGTTAATGATTATAAAGCCATTTTTTCCACTGCAAACAAAGAAGTGAGGCTGGTGCGCTGTTGGGATGCTAGTTGTTGATGTTGTTAGTTACCATGATGACAGACTTCTGACTTCTGGCCTCTGAAAGTTGTGAAAAGTGCTTATGAACTCTAACCCGGCTCACTGCAGTTCAATTTGTGTTACTCTGAATTGAACTGAATTGAAAGACATTTGAATATTTAAATCTGATTGGTTGAAGCTTTACTACAGTCAAATTAAATCAAACTTTTGTTAAATCCATTTGAGAGAAAAGCAAACACATCCTCCCTGTCCACAAACGCACAAACGAACTACACTAAACTAACGACAAACTACTACTCTGACTTTACCATAAACCTCAGTGCTGCTCTGTGATTGGTCTGAACCTCTGAGAGTTCGGAGAGTTGTTGTACATTTGTAGGGAGTATTATCTGTTCCATAAGGGTGAGTTGTTGTACAGTTGTAGGGAGTATTATCTGTTCCATAAGGGTGAGTTGTTGTACAGTTGTAGGGAGTATTATCTGTTACATAAGGGTGAGCTGTTTTACAGTTGTAGGGAGTATTATCAGTTTGGTAAGGGTGAGTTATTGTGCAGTCGTAGGGAGTATTATTTGTTACATAAAGGTGAGTTGTTGTACAGTTGTAGGGAGTATTATCGGTTACATCAGAACGAGTTGTTGTAAAGTTGTAGGGAGTATTATCTCTTTCGTAAGGGTGAGTTGTTGTACAGTTGTAGGGAGTATTATCTCTTTCCTAAGGGTGAGTTGTTGTACAGTTGTAGGGAGTATTATCTCTTTCCTAAGGGTGAGTTGTTGTACAGTTGTAGGGAGTATTATCTGTTCCATACAGGTGAGTTATTGTACAGTTGTAGGGAGTATTATCTGTTACATAAGGGTGAGTTGTTGTACAGTTGTAGGGAGTATTATCTGTTACATAAGAGTGAGTTGTACAGTTGTAGGGAGTATTATCTGTTACATAAGGGTGAGTTTCTGTACAGTTGTAGGGAGTATTATCTGTTCCATAAGGGTGAGTTCTTGTACAGTTGTAGGGAGTATTATCTGTTAAATAAGAGTGAGTTGTACAGTTGTAGGGAGTATTATCTGTTACATAAGAGTGAGTTGTACAGTTGTAGGGAGTATTATCAGTTTGGTAAGGGTTAGTTATTGTGCAGTCGTAGGGAGTATTATTTGTTACATAAAGGTGAGTTGTTGTACAGTTGTAGGGAGTATTATCGGTTACATCAGAACGAGTCGTTGTAAAGTTGTAGGGAGTATTATCTCTTTCGTAAGGGTGAGTTGTTGTACAGTTGTAGGGAGTATTATCTCTTTCGTAAGGGTGAGTTGTTGTACAGTTGTAGGGAGTATTATCTCTTTCGTAAGGGTGAGTTGTACAGTTGTAGGGAGTATTATCTGTTACATAAGGGTGAGTTTCTGTACAGTTGTAGGGAGTATTATCTGTTGCATAAGGGTGAGTTGTTGTACAGTTGTAGGGAGTATTATCTGTTAAATAAGAGTGAGTTGTACAGTTGTAGGGAGTATTATCTGTTACATAAGGGTGAGTTGTTGTACAATTGTAGGGAGTATTATCTGTTACATAAGAGTGAGTTGTACAGTTGTAGGGAGTATTATCTGTTCCATACGGGTGAGTTGTTGTACAGTTGTAGGGAGTATTATCTGTTCCATACGGGTGAGTTGTTGTACAGTTGTAGGGAGTATTATCTGTTCCATACGGGTGAGTTGTTGTACAGTTGTAGGGAGCTATTTAGCAGACACAAGCACAGCATGTCGTCTTTAATGCCATACTTTGGAACATTCCAGGCAAAGCAATAACTTCTCCACTGAAACAAGAAAATGAAAAAGGGCATCTTTAATTATGGAATTTTGCTTTTTTTTTTTATTAGAAGTCCATTTATTATTATTTATTATAGCCCTTTAATAATTCCAGCCCTCAAGTATTTCCAATTTGTGAGAATAATCTGAACTGTTGTGACTCGGGATGTATGATGCCATGGTAACCGCGCTGTGTGAAATCTGCAAGTTGATAGAGCAATCACGCATAATTAGCCCTAAAGCTAATTCTACAAAAAAAAAATAAAAACACCCACATTTTCTGAAACGTTTAAACCGACAAAAATTAATTAACATGCCTAAATATTTTTCCTGCGTTTGAGCGTTTTGAAATTAGTCAAGGAGTTAGTCCCGCGGGTCGGGCTCGGCCTCTGGTTCTGGGCTAATGGGGGTCACGAGAGGTTGCCATGTAATGAACTGTTAAACAATCTCCAAAGGGACTGGTATTATGAAGGAGTGTGATGAGAAATACACAGATCTGGCGGTTTTCTCGCGCAGGGTGCTGAGGCGGGACAATGTGGGAATTACAAGTGTTTATAAGCCCTATGCATGACTAATTTCAGTTCTAAAAATAATAATAATAAAAAACTGGTTTACATTGGTTTTCACGGTAACACAAAGACGCTTCCCAATAAAGTAACAGTTAAAACAAGGACAGGACACACAAAACCGTTAGGAGGAGCGGTCGAAATGTGGAAATGTGGAAATTTGTGTCTGAAAACTACGTCTGGGTATCATTAAGAAGTTGCCGATACGATACATACCTCAATACGTAGGCCACGAAATGATACATTTTTTGAAACAGTGCACTTTTGATTGAATATGATTCGATACAATATATTACAAATCGATTTGATGCAATTCAGTGAAAAACAGGGGTCAGATTTATCATCAGAAGAGCCTCTAGTCAGAAAATCCATGTTCAGGTTGTGTTACAAATTGTTACAAATGAAATTGTATTTCAAGTTTTAAATATTTTAAAAAGTAAATATTAAAAGTAGTAAATATATTAAACCCTTAAAATACAGCAAAACTGTTTGAGGAAATAATGATTTGGGTGGAAATGGCATCTTAAGTGGAACAGGGTTAATAATTGTCTGTTTTCAGGCAACAACTTGCAAAATGTTCAGTAATTCGAGCTCTACAACCTTTATTTCAATTTTATTTAAAATCTTTTTCTTTTAATATAGTATTGGTGGGTTTGTAAATCAACAAATTAAGTAATGTTGGCCTTAGCTAATGCTGATGCATGATTATGCATTTTCCTGTCAATATTTCTAAAAATTTTGATGTTGCAGCCATTTTTAATTGGTAAACATCCAAACGTTTACTAATTCTTCCCTGATATCCAGAGATTATTCCCTGTTGCTTTCATCAAATATACATTCAACTGTTCAAGAGAAATGTTGCTGACAAACCAATAGAAGAGGGAAGGATTTTCTGACGAGTGGGCCTTCTCACTACAGGGCCTTCTGACTAGTGGGCCTTCTGACTAGTGGGCCTTCTGACTAGTGGGCTTTCTGACTACAGGACCTTCTGACTAGTGGGCTTTCTGACTACAGAGCCTTCTGACTAGTGGGCTTTCTGACTAGGAGGCCTTTGTGCAAAGTTAATACGAAAATCACCCATGTTACTCATCAAAACAGTGAAAATGTCAGCACAATTATAGCTCTTACACAAAATAATTTAATAAACTCTACATAAAAATACTCTTGGTGATATATCAATAAAGCAGGCCACGATACTGTATCATCAAATTAAACAATACGATATATCAATATTTCAATATTTATACACAGCCCTACTAAAGCTAAGCCAGGCTGGCGCCACCTAGTGCCTCCGCTCATTTTCATTTTTCTCCAGCGACTAGGTCAGGAATCAGAATACACTAGACAATTTAAAAAAAACAGAGGAACCCCAGCCAATCAGCAAAGAACCATTTATTCCAGACATTCTGTGTTGTCAACGATTCCCAAGATCGAGGATTTAAAGCTGAAACAAAGAGAATGTTTGGTGAATTTTATCAAGGGGAAAGACGTTATTGTCCTTCTTCCTACGGGATTTGGGAAAAGCTTAATTTGCCAGTTATCCCCGTTAGTGGTGCATTATATACATCTCGACCAAATAGCAGTGATTGGTTAAATAAAAAAATAGTACCGGCCTACCGTCGAGCGAACGAATCCTAATGCTGTGAGGTCAAACGGTTTCTACGTGTGTGCATTTGTGCTTCAGCATGTTGCAAGCTGACCAACTGTTTGTGTCTGCTCGCTCCGTTTGAGTGCAGAGAGCTACGAGAGACGCTCAGTTTAATGGCCCAATGAAAGGTAATGAAAACCCGAACATTTGCGTCACTTTATAAAAAAAAAAAAAACTCGGACAGCCAGGACAGAGGTGAAAAACGAATATGTCCGGGGAAAAACAGACGTTTGATCACAGCAACCTACATTCGGTTTGTCGATTAAAGATGAAGGTAATCGACGAAATTCTTAATGATCAATTATCGATTAATCGGCCAATCATGCCCATCCCTATTTTGCAGCTGATTTCAATATTGTGACTCTAACTTTAGGCTCAGCTCTGTTTACTTTGCTTTACTAAACTTTAATCTGAGCTTTATTTTAACACAATTTGACCAGGAAAAGGCGACTTAGCTGGAACTACAACAGGTGATCTGATATGGGCTGTTAAACAAGTCTCTCGCACACAAAACGGCTGTAGAAACATGCACACGGATGAAAAATACACAACATGTTCTTTCATCTGTATCTACCTGCGTGTCCTGTGCTCTTTTTTGGATTAGCACAGCAGCTGCCCAGTGCATGAAGCTCTGCACACAGCCCTGAAATCCCTCTGATAAGTCACGGAGACTCATATGGAGAATCACGTCTGGGACCAGGCGAGCTCCAGCCTGTGTGCAATCAACAAGAGCAGGACAGGGGGAGCCTCTGGGAACCAACACGAACACGAGTTTGTCCAAAATCTATTTAAAACTGCAAGTCAAGGCATGAGCTCCACTGAATGCTTTTTTTTTTAATAGAAACTTTTCTCTAAAACTTTTTCCACCAGTTTTTCCCATTTTGACTCTCGAGCTTTAAGCCATGTTATAATGTTTCCTCATCAGAAACAGACCTGGAGTTGTTTTGTTTCATTCATACATTTTAGAGTAACTCCTATTTATATGTCTCTCTACATCTCCAAAGCTCAAAATGCCATTGTTTTTCCACCTTGTGATGTCATGTAGTGGCTCTTTTTACCTTTAGTTCAGTAGAGACTGGCAATTCTGGGACTGAAATGGTCCAAATGACTCTAGTGAATGTGTATGGAGTTTAAAAACACAGTGGAGTCTTTTCTGTTTGAGAGAAGACGCCAACGTGTTTCAACCAGCCAAATAGTCTTCGTCATAATATAATAATTGTCTGAAAACTAAAACACCAAATTATTACATAAACAACTTAACTAATCAAAGTCCAATGTTTTTGTACTTAAAGGTGCATTGTGTAACTTTTCTGGTGGAGGGTCCGTCACCTGCTTGTTGCTCGGAGATGTCATTGCTCTGCCTGGAATTTTCCACAGTGTAACATTTATTCAATTACAAGTGGTTTTATAGCTCAAATATACCTAGAAAAACAGGCATTGTGACTGTGAGCGGATTTGACCTGTAACTTGAACTGGTTTGGTCTCAGTGAAGATAGAAAGGTACTGTGTACTGTGAAACATACCAGACAAAGCAATAACCAGGGGCGGTTCTAGGAAAGGGGCCACAGGGGCTTTGGTCCCACCTCTAATCTGATTGGCCCCTGGCCCGTGGCTTTTAAGTGGAGATGAACAGCAGACTGAGGTCCTGTGTTGCTCTCTCGTCTGTGTTGGTTCATCCTCTTGTGAAGTACCTGTTTAGTTTCTCCAATGAAGCATTCACTGCAGTCTTCACTGCACTGAATGGAGTAGACCACATTACTTTGTTTGTGGCTCGGTGTTTTGTCCTTTGGGTGGACCAGTTTCTGTCTTAAAGTGTTTGTAGGTTTGAAATCGACCGGGATCTCATGTTGTCTGAAAATCCTCTATAGTTTTTCAGAAACATCAGCCATGTACGGAATAGTTACCCCCTTTCTCCTGGGTTCTAATTCTCTATTGTCCTGTTTTTTAGTCCTCTTGGTTTTGTTCAGGGCCCATTTTGGATATCCGCAAACAGAGAGGGCTTCACACACCACTGGCAATAACATCTCCATGGAGAAAAGCATTTGACAGAACCTCTATCAGAAGTTACAGAACGCACCATTAAGAATAAATCAGCTTTATAATTGTTATCAGTAAGAGCAATATTTGACTTGAACATGTCTAGAAAAACAGACATCTTACAATCTTACATACAGCTTTTTCCTCTTTACACTATGTCTATAAAACGTCATATCTGTTAGGCTACGTTCAGACTGCAGGGCTTAACGCTCAATTCCGATTTTTTTGTGAAATCTGATGTTTTTGCGAGGTCGTTCACATTTCCAATTAAATGTGACTTGTATGTGACTCCAGTGTGAACAGTAAACGGCCCGGAAGTGTCCCACATGTGACACTGGAGACACGATGACGTCAACCGCAGTGAGCGTCTCTGTGTTTACGGAAGTTGTCCAAACATGGACACGAGCATTGAGCACCTGGAGATTTTAAAGTTCCTCTCGTACCGGAGTCAGAACATGAACAACTTACTTGTTTTAAGGAGGAGATTGAGAAGGAGAAGGACGAGGTTTTTGGCCGTGGTGTTTTGTGGGGTAGTGGCAGGAACGTGTGGATGTGGAGACGTAGCCAAGAGTGGCGAATTTTCACCTACTTCAGAGCAGAATAGTGACGTTTGTGTCTTGTTGATAACGTGTAGGTCGGATGAATGCACTTTGGCCGTTCAGACTGAAGTCGCATGTCAAAAGATCAGATATGTATCGGTTTCAGGAGCACATATCCAAGTGGCCTGGGTCACATTTGAAAAAAATCGGATCTGTGTCGTTCAGACTGTCATTAAAAGATCAGATACAGGTCACATAGAGGCCAAAAAAATCAGATTTGGGTCACTTCAGGCTGCAGTCTGAACGCAGCCTTAGTTACATTCTCATAGTGTGGACCTGTTTTCGTGTACAGTCTTCATTTATTTGTCTTGATGTGTTGTTTGCCGAGGCAGGAGTCGGTGAGTCTAGTGAAGTGGACAGAAACGGGCAAATGGCCAGCTGCAGCAATTTATCTGCAATTAGCCCAGATAAGCTTTAGAGCATTGATTTCCGCTCTGTGCTGGATTTAAGATGTTTTTTTTTTTCTTTTTTTTTCTCAGCTGCCGAAACACTAATACATTTGAGAGGTCTCTAACTTAAAGGTCACACTATGCTCGTTTGTCTTTTGGAGTTTTGGAGCTCGCGTGTGGTTTTCTCATCAAAAAATAAATCTCCAGTTGTGCTCTCTTTGATCCGAGCATTTGTGAAGTAATACTGCAGACTTAGTTCATTTTTCTCAATACCTCAAAACGCTCTGTTCCACCTTGTGATTAGAAATGGACCGATTTGTTTTGTTTTTTCATTGCCAATACTGAATATAGAGCAATCAAAGTCCAATAAGCTCTGCCGATATTTTTTTTGGACTGATATTTTTGGTCAGATTTTGATTATTTTCCGCAAATGAAATTAACTTTTCCAGTGGAGGGTCCATCAAACCCCAGTCCAAATGTTTGTTTTTCTAGGTTTTCTGAGCTATAAAACCACTTGTAACTGAATAAATGTAAGGTAGAGCTGTTTACTGTCGTACCGTGGAACATTCTAGGCAGAGAAATGACATATCCATAGAAAAAATTTAAACAGAAACCGCACACCAAAGTTCTTGTAAAGGTGCAAATGCAAGGAACGGTAAAATAAAACTGAAAAAAGTGAAAAATAAAAGAGAAAGGGTGAGTGTGCTGTGCGTTTTTTTCACTTTTATATCCATAGAAACAACCAAATGATGGACCCCAAACCAAAAACTTATATTAGGCATGTTTAAATTGACTACAAATTCTCCCATGCCCTTTTTTTCTTTTTTTACTACAAGCCTATAACAAAGCTGTGTAGTCATGTGTTGTGCAGTTATTTCTTCATTCCAAATATCGGTCAACCAATAAAACAATCTATCTCTACTTTGCCGTATTTAACTCAGGAAGTACCGCTTTGTGTTTTCAGATGCATTACACCGTACCAGACTCAAATTACTTACAACAAGGTATACATAAAGGTTTTTCTTCATTTAATCTGTCTCAGTTCTCAGGCTACGTTTATATGATGACGGTCTGACCAGAAGATGCAAAAGTGGCGTTGCGTCTTCACTTTTGATTCCGGGTTTAGACGAGCATTTTCTGGAGGAAATCTGCATGCATACGGTGACGCAAAAGTGTGTGGAATTTGTTTGGGTGTACATGCCAGGTATGTATGTGACGTAAACCCGTACGCGACGTGAGCAGATCTGACCAGAGATTTGCGTCTTGGGCAGTGTAGACGCAAACGCTACAGCGGAGCACATTCAACTTTTCCATTCTGAAGGCTTGTTTCAGATTTTTGCATTTTTAAGCCCCAAAACGCGTCACCATCTAAACCAAGGATGGGCAAACTTTTTGACTCGTGGGCTGCAAAGGATTCTAAAATTTGAAGGAAGGGCCGGACCAGGGGCAGATGGATGGAGTTTTTTTTTTGATAATCCACCTCATAAGAGAAAAAATATCCCATGTGATTGAAATATCCCATAAGTGAAAATCATTACAAAGCATTACAATTAAATATCTGTCTTTCAAGTCCCACAGTATTTGCTATTTATGGAAATTACTTTTAAAGCAATGAAAATTATTATTATTAAAGTTCAGCGGGCCGGATTAAATGGATTAAAGGGCTGCATTTGGCCCCCGGACCTTATTTTGCCCACCCCTGATCTAAACGAAAGGCACTTCCGATAAAATATTTTGCCGTTTTTACCTACCGTTCTCGTGTAAACAGAGTCATAGTTACATATTACATATAGTTACGAAGTAATTGTATGTGTAATTGATGTGCGAAGTTCTCATTCTTTTATGTCGACAATATGAAACGATTTGTGTTTCTTGCAGCGCTCCTTCAGATATGATTTTGTTCATCTAATTTTTATGTCTACAATTTGAAAATATCAGATTATGTGCATTATTTCACATTGTCTCCTTCAACTGGCATTATTTTAAAATGATGTATCAGCTGTTACCTCCCGATAGTTTCTTTTTAAGTACTTGAGTAATGGTTTTAATCTTTCTAATTTCTTAGACCACCACTTTTTACATCCACTTTAGTAATATTATTTTGAAATAAAGTTACTCTAGCTTTTGTACAACCTTTGGCTACTCTACCCGTCTCTGGCAAAGCATAATTCCTTGTAAAAAGCATTGAAAATTCATCATCTGCATCTGACCATCCTTCAACACACCTCTAGATCTTGAGCTAGTCTTAGTCAGGATTACCTTAGCTGGAGGATTTGACCTAATGTGCACGTTTAGGGTTTACGGGGGACCTTCTTGCTGTGAGGCGAGTGTGCTTTCCAGTCCTCACTCCACCACCACCACGGCGCCTCTCCCTCATTCGTGACCTTGGCGTTGTCCTTTGTTCATAGACCCATCACTCTTTCCTGTACACCCTGTCTGCGCCGGGCGAGGTAATGGCAGGTTATGGTCAGAGCGCCTGTCGGACCGGAGCTGACGGGAGCTGACAGGGGCATCCTTCACCGCTGCAGACGCGTGGAGAAGAATGGCTTCCTCTAACAATAAGCTGTCAGCAGTACGGCGGGAACGCTGGACTGCAGAGGGGACAGCAGGAGAGTCAAGGGCCGTTAGCTACACTCTCCACATGGACTTCCACAAACCGGAATGTAGAGAGTCCCTCGCTCGGAATTGGACCGGGACACTTTTACCGCTACAGTTAGAAAGTGAAAAGAAAATTCATATTTAAAGGTACACTGTGTAACTTTTTGGTTGGGGGTCCGTCACCTGCTTGATATGTCTATGTTCTGGACTTCATGAAAATAAAAATGAGTGTGTACACATGCACATCAGTATCCCGGTTATTAGCCATATCCCGGTCATGTCAGTATTCGGGTTACTGCGTTTACATGCGCACTGAGAAACCTAGGGTGACCATATTTCCGTTTGTGAATACCCGTGAATACACCTTGGAGGGGGGGTTCTCGGATTTTTTTAGTGCAATTTTTCATGCTTTACGCGTATTGTGTATTACAGGTGGGTAGCAATTACACACTGGTGGGTCAGGACTAAACCAGGTCTAAACCAGGACTAATCTTGGACTTAAGAGAGAAAACGCCGAGCAGTTTGTCTGCAAAGTGCAATCGGGTAATTGCCACGTTTACCTCTGTGAGCTATGGAGCTGAGCCGGTCCTTTCTCCTGCGTCACCTCCGAGCCCGTCCCGACAGTGAGTCCTTTTTCAGTTTTGGTTTAGTCCTGGTTTAGTCCTGTTTTAGTCCTAGTTCAGTCGTGGAATCAGTCCTGGGTTAGTCCTGGTTTAGTCTTGGTTCAGTCCGTGGCGTAGGCAGCGCAAAAGTTTGATATAATCTCTGGTTAATGGGCAGGTGCGGTCCTGTTCTGCGCGGTTGCGGTGTTGTACTCGGGGTCTCCAAAAATGGACCCGTGCGGGACTCTGCGCTGTTGGGCTCCATTACGGAATAAATTAATCTTCAGTTCGTTACATCAAGAAAGAGGAAAATAACATGACAACAGCAGCAGTAAGTTTTAAGAAGGATGTAAAAAGGGTTGCACCTGTCCTGTCTGAGAAAAGTGTATAAAGTGTGTGCTGAGGGGCTTGTCTGTTCTGTGCATGTATAGTATAGGAGATAGTTCATGTTTTAGCTTTTCTGCGATCACACGAGTGCAGGTCAGATTGTACGTGTGCAGGTTTAGCGCAGCTCTTTATTTTACAGTCATTTCACTCGTTTGGTCACTTTATTTATGTTGGTCAATTTATTTATGTCGCTACTGTTGTGGTGAAAAGACTGGAAAGTGTCTTTTGGACGCATGCGCACTCAACTTTATGTTGCAGTAACCGGGATACTGCGTTTACATGCACCATCAAGAAACCGGGATACTCAAAAAAACCTGATCATAACTGGGTTATTGATGTGCATGTAAACGCTCTCACTGACTCTGCCCCTCACTCTCCCCTTTAGCCCTCCAGACTCCGCCAATCATTCACTCCTTTAGCCCTCCAGACTTCGTCCCTCACTCTTCCCTTTTTCCCTTTTAACATGTTAACCAAAACGTGTCATTTTCGCTCTTATTTAAACTGCTTGTATGTGTTAGAGAAGCCATTAATATTTGAAAGCAAAACTAAATCATAATCATTCACGTCCAATATTTCATTTGTTAATTTATGCCGTAGTATCATTAGTCAGTACATTAGAGCGTACTACAACTGCCTCCGCTCAGTATTTATCCAAGTATAACACATTATTGAGTGCACAAAGGGCTCAGTGACAGCTATCGACTCCCAACAATTAGCTCCATATTTTCTGCTCGCGGCCCTGAAGACAAATTAGGAAGTGGTTTCTAAATGTCACGGACGACTGGCTGCACAATACTTCATCAGAGCGCCACTTGGAGGATTGTTAGTCTGAAAGGCCACCGCCGAGTCCGCAGTCTGCGCTACAAAAGAGAGAGGGGGAGGGGGCTGCAGGTGAAATGTAAAGATACTGGAGTTTTTTAAAGAACACGTTTTGCTGCCAATACTCATCTATAAAATGACTTAATAAAAGAAAGAAGTACGCTGACTTTCGCCTGCAGTGTCTGAAGGGAGCTGACGTAAATGTGATCACAACATAGGCTACGTTCAGACTGCAGGGCTTAATGCTCAATTCAGATTTTTTTGTGAAATACGATGTTTTTGCGAGGTCGTTCACATTTCCAATTAAATGTATAAATGTATGTAATGTATGTGACTCCAGTGTGAACATTAAACAGCCCAAAAGTGTCCCACATGTGCACTGGAGGACACGATGTCATCCACAGTGAGCGTGCTCTGTGTTTACGGAAGTTGTCCAAACATGGACGCAGCATTCGAGCACCTGGAGATTTTAAAGTTCCTCTCGTACCGGAGCCAAAACATGAACAACTTACTTGTTTTAAGGAGGAGATTGAGAAGGAGAAGGACGAGGTTTTTGGCCGTGGTGTTTTGTGGGGCAGTGGCAGGAACGTGTGGATGTGGAGACGTAGCCAAGAGTGGTGAGTGGTGATGTGCTTCGCTTTACTAACACATAGTTCATTAACAATTTTCGCCTACTTCAGTGCAGAATAGTGACGTTTGTGGCTTGTTGATAACATGTAAGTAGATGAATGCACTTTGGCCGTTCAGACTGAAGTCGCATGTCAAAAGATCAGATATGTATCGGTTTTAGGAGCACATATCCAAGTGTCCTGGGTCACATTTGAAAAAATTTGATCTGTGTCGTTCAGACTGTCATTAAAAGATCAGATACAGGTCACATAGGGGCCAAAAAATCGGATTTGGGTCACTTCAGGCTGGAGTCTGAACGTTTAGTCGGCACCTCCTATGGACAGCTGCGCATCACACTAACCTGTGGCTTAGGAGCTCCCAGCAGCTCTCCACCCCTTTCCAAGGTTACATTTACACTGAAATGAATCACCGTATCACTGTATCAGAAACGATTTGCATCCAGACATGTCGTTTCTGTGTCAATCAAAGCCTTCCCTATCCACACTGTAACGCAAAACCGCCTGAATCAAATGTACATCGTCATAACGTCACGTGGGTGGTAAAAACAAGGAAGTGGAGCACCGTGTCTGAAGTTGCAGCAGCCGATTTTGAGCTGAGGAACATGGCAAGAGTGAAAGTAGTAAGTAGTTATGTAGTTACTAGCTACGCTGTTTCCCGTTTGTCTATGGTGTGTTTAAAATATTTTCCTCAATAGTGTCACATGATGTCACAGTGACGTGGTCCAATAAGGATGCAACTAGAGCTTCTACGTCAGTGTTAGAGCTGTCGCGGTTAGGGAATTTCTCCTGCGGTGCGGTATATTTATTTATTTATTTATTTATTTGAGACAGGAACAGCGCACAATTTTTGCATTAACCTGAACAGGAGAGATGCATTGTTCATCAGGTTGTAGCATCAGTGCTAATTTCCACCTGTCGTCCCTGGGCAGGTTCATTGGTTCATTTATTGATTGTATTTAACCGACCTTGACTATCAACTGTTCTGGAGACCAATATAGCATGTCTTGGGTACAGCGACTCAACAGCGCGGTATGCAATGATGTTTCACCCCTCCCCCACCCCCCATCACCCGGAGTTACAATATTTCCAGCGGCTCTGAAAACTCTCTTTGATGATGCGTTTGTTGCAGATGCACATGTACCTTGGTTGTCGTGTGAATATAGCGTGTGTAGCATGAGAGAAGTAACATTTGGTTTGGAACAAGTGCCGCTGCATCTCTCCAGCTCTCACTGTGGCAGCTCGGGTCAGAGTCCTGCACCAGGTCGGGTCAGAGTCCTGCACCAGGTTGGGTCAGAGTCCTGCACCAACTCACGAACTTAATAGAGAGAGTCCCTAGCACGAGCACATGGAGCAGGTATCCACAAAGTGTCATCAGGCGACGGCTCCGTTTATCTCCGAGGAGCTCTGCGGTCCTTTCACCTGTGGTCACCCGACGGTCTACGCGGGCACACACCTTAGTCCTGGGTTAGTCCTGGGTTATTATGGGCGGTAATGGGTGGAATGTTAACAGGTCTGGGCGGGTCACTAAAAATGGACCCGTGCAGGACTCTGGGTCGGGGTCACGTGCGGTGATCACGGTGGACCTCTTATTATTGCCAGTTATTGCGGTTATTGCGACAGCCCTAGTTAGTGTATCAACGTTTTCAGGTGTCCACACAGTACCAGATCAGATCTCAGATGAATTCGTGGGAGTTGGTGGCATCAGATCGTTCCGTCTCTGGAGCCATTTTCGATTCGGATTAGTGTGATCGAACACTGCATCTGTAACGAAAATGACTCAAATATGTACTAGTGTGGATGGGGCCCAAGTAGAGTGCCAAGGGATTTCTGAATTATAAGCACTGTGCTGATTTACTAAATTTAAGTAACTGTATTATTCTGATATCTAACTTTGCTCACTAATAATATGTTTTATAGGCATCTAACTGTACTCCATCTAACTCTTTTTGTGGCTCTTTACTCAGTTTCTTGCAGCCGTTAATATGAGCAGCTCTCTGGCATTTTCATTTTGTACAGGTAGCTCACCAGAAGAAGGTTGGAGACCCCTGAACTAGAGTGTAGGACTGCGACGCTGCTGAATCCTACGTGTATCACTGATTAAGAAAATAAAATTGGAGAACAAAGAAAGTGCAAAGCAGTGGGCGAGTACCGGTGGAGATGAAAACGGGTTGAAAATAAGCGATTAAAGATTACTCAAACATGCACGAATCACTCCAAATGCAATTTCAAGAAGCTAAATGAGATGGAGAAACAGCTATAACATGATTGAAATCTCTGAAAAGTCAATCCTGATGTGATTTTGAACAAACCATGGATGTATTTCAAGGTATTCTTTGATAAACCACATATAACTGAATAAATGCAACACAGAAAATGTTAAAAGCATACTGCAGAACATTAGCCTGGTCAAGTATTTGTGAGTTCACAAACTCACAAGAATCCATCTGGCCCGGCTCTCACTCAAAAAAATGTGGTGAAAATAAGAGCTTTTGTGCATTTGTGAACAGAAAAGATGTCTGTGCTTTTCTCTCAACTTGTCTATATTCATGAAAACAA